AGAGGAAAAATAAAAAAAATAAAATTTTTAAAAAGTGGCTAATAATAATGATAATAATAATATAATTAATTAATAATAAAGGAAAGTGTTAGTCAAGAAGGAAGAAGAAGTCAGCTACAGAGATAAGTCATTACACGGACAGTTTTTGAGAGGTACTAAAAAGATGTTAGAGACTAGCAGTCATGCATGGGATTGGTTGGAAGGAGAGATGTTGACGAAAGAGACCGAAGTTCTCCTAACTGCTGCACAAGATCAGGCTCTTCGGACAAGTTTCATCAAAAATAAGGTCAACAGGCAAGAAGTTTCGCCTATGTGTCGCATACGCGGAAAAAGGGAGGAAACCAGTATAAAAACTGGAGACACGACAAGGTTGCTCAAGTTCTCCACTGGAATATTTGTATGCAAAAAATTTCTGCATCTGCAGCGCAGCAAAACCTGGTATGACCATTCTCCGGATAAATAGCCTGCGAGCGAGCTCACCTATCTGGGCGAGCAAAGCGAGCCGCGCGACACACGTGCCTCTCGCGAGTCTACTTTTCGCGATATCCCCAAGTAGAGGGCTTGCTCGCAGACTGCCAGATAAAAAAAAAAAACGGACCAAGTGAAGTTACTGTGGGATTTCAGAATTCAGACAGATCAAATTTTAGACCACAGCAGACTTGAAATTGTAGTACTGAAAAAGGAGGGAAGGGCCTGGGTGCTTCCGTGTTGTTGATGTAGCTTGCCCTTTCGATATACGGGTAGCCGAAAAAAAGAGAGAGAAGATGCGACCACCACCCGGGGTCTTGTGGGCACTCAGTCACTGTGGAGAGCTAATGATTGTTGAACGCTAGGAACTTGAAAGATAGACTAACTGGTGGTGTTATTCAGCAGGAACTCGATTGGGTTTAGGTCACGGGAGGGAGCATGGCTCAGGATGTAAGCTGTCTGGGAACTGATGATGTTCCTTCTGAATGACTTGATGACATTCTGTATTACCAGAGCTGATTTGTTCTGGAATCCAGTCCGTTTCCTTCACCATGTTCACAGGTGCAGGGATTTTGTTTGCTTCTAATGCAGGTACTATGACTGCCGTTCCGTCACTAGGACTCCTTGTGTTACGCTACAGCGGTGAGGCAGCACCGCAATCGTGTTTCCCTCCATTGTTGTTCAGTTCATCAGTGTCGAGCTCTGTGATGGTCGCTCCTCCAGACGATGGCCCGGGCCGCTGGAAGTACTTTAGCTGTTCAAAATACCCCTAGTAATAATATACAAGGTGTTATAGATACTTTCGCCCAGACTGTAGCCCTAATCGAGTTCCTCTTTTGCTCTGTCAAGTTCTTCTTGTGTTTGCTGAAGCTCCCGCGCTCTCTGATCAAGGTCCTTTAACAGTGAAGTGCAGTGAGCCTTCAGTTTGAGGTTTTTTTTTCTCAGTTTTACATCGTTTTTAAATTCGCTAACGGCGTTCTTCTGCTTCCACTTGATCATCAACGGGTAAAAGAATCACAACAACGGATCAATAATGTTTTGTTGTGATTCCTTTAGCCGTGGTGATTCTTTTTCAAATTAATTATTTTCCGATTTTGAGGTTTTTCTAAATCCTCTCTCTGGATCAGATTATCTTCTTCCATCCACTGACGCTCCTGCCATTGCAGGTTATTAATCACTGCAGCTTGTTGAGCTTTGGCATTTTGTTGTTGTAAACCAACAAAATACTATCATAGCCCAACAAGCTAAGCGATTAGCAATTATTGCTACTAGCCGTTCTCGTAGTGCTGTACACTGATATAACCGCAGTGCCATCTTTAGTCCACGGAATTTTTTAAATGCAGCAAAACAATCCTTTTAAGATAAAATCACTGACTCTATAAAATCTCTCCGTTAAGTTTCAGCTTCGTTTTTGTTTTTCCAAAATTGAGGTTTTTTTTGTATGATGTCATAGACAGCAAACCATGCCAAGATTCTTTTACGCGCGCAAAGGCCGCTTCTAGAGCCGCGATACTAATGGTCAGCAACAAACCATCTCAGTGGGATTGGTACGCTATTGTGATGTAGCTAGGGTGACGTATGGTCGATTTTAGGAAAACGAGTAAGGTACGGTCGGTACATCCGTTATCTTTAGTGTTACATATTTGAAATCTCACTTGAATTTGTATCGCGCGCGATGTTACAATGTTTGTTACATTGCGTTGGCAATATTGCGTATTGAAGAGTTTAAATTAGCGACACGTAGCTACTTACAGGGAGAGAGTCAGGTTTTTGTGTTTCACCTGCTGGTTGCATGAGGTTGGGTTTCTCCCATTTTATAAACATAGATTTCCTAAGCTTTACTTGGTACTTAGTAGCTGCAGTCCAGGATCTGGCGAAGCAATCCGGTGTGCAGGATGTTCTACAAGACTCTGAACTCTGTAGATGTCTAAAACGTTCGAAGACCTATCGGGAAGTAAGTGGTCGCGAACTCGTGCAGAGAAATGTCGGCTGCCTAGTTTCACCAACATAACAAGCATGCATTACAACTTGCACACGAAAATTTACCAACCATACGCGTGCGTAGCCACTCAAAGACAGCATCTCTCGAGTTCCTCTCTACTCTTCTTTGCCGAAGATTCAAATTAAAGCGGCTTGTTGTAAGAGGTGACGTTAACTCATCTCACTGTTTTAGTAAACGTGGTAGCAATGAGCCCCTCAAATTACCGAAGATTGAGCGTTCAATTGCTGCAATTGCCGACGCTCAATCTTCGTTATTTGAGGTGCTCGGCCACTTCCTTTCACATCTCCCACTCGGGTGTACACTGGTGGTTGCCAGGTCTTAAGGGCACTTCACTGTAGAGAGATGATAATTGAGGAACGCCAGGAACTTGAAAGATAGACCAGCTGGTGGTGTTATTATTAAGCAGCAGGAACTCGATTGGGTTTAGGTCACGGAAGGCCTAGGGAGCATGGCTCAGGATGTAAGCTGTTTGGGAACAGATGATGTTTCTTCTGAATGACTGGATGACATTCTGCGCTACCAGAGTTGTCAGTCTAGAATCCATTTCCATTTCCTTCTCTATGTTCACATGCAGGTGCAGGTATTTTGTTGGTGTCTAATACAAGTACTATAACTGCTTCCAAAGATGGTTTTGATCAGTGACAAGAGGACAGTGCATACGCGAACGGTACGGTGAGGCAGCACTGCAATCGTGTTTCATCACAAACAACAAGTTGTTGTTACTTCTCATTAGTGTCGAGATCTCATGTGATGGTCGCTCCTCCCAGACGATTGTAGCCCGGGCTACTTGAATTATTTCAAAGTACCCTCAGTTATTAATATATAAGGTACTAATAGTTACTTTCGCCCAGGCTGTAGCCCAAATCGAGTTCCTTTTTTGCTCGTTCAAGTTCCTTTTGTGTCTGCTGAGGCTTCTGGGCTCTCTGATCCGGCAAGCTTCTTTTTAAGCTGAAGGCCCACTGCACTTCACTGTTAAAACTTCACTGTTTTAACTGTGAAGTTCAGTGCGCCTTTAACTTGAGGTTTTTTCCTTTCACATCGTTTAATCCCTAGCGGCGTTCTTAGACATCCACTTGATGTCTTCTTGCGATTCCTTTAGCCTTTGCAACTTTTTTCGAATTATGTTCTTTAAATTTTCTTGAGATCGGTGAGGTTCTTTTGAGATTTTTCCAAATCACCTCTCTGTATCTCATTATCTTAGTCTAGCCGCTGTCGCTTTGATCGCAGGGGAGTACTGCAGCTTGTTGGGCCACAGGTGGCCAAAGCGTAAAATGAGAGTTTGTATATAGGGGAAAAATAGAGTCTGAAACTTGGATGAAATAAATGAAGTAAAAGCGATAAAAGTTCTCAATAAAGTGTAAATATTGTCACCTGCAGTCGTTGTCTTTGCTTTTACACGAAGTTTCAGCGCGATTTGAGTACTTTTACATCATCTGACCTGACAGTGTAATAGATTATTATAGTATCCGTACCATCCCTAGTCCAAGGAATCTTTAAAATGTACCAAAACAATCCCAGTTTAAGATAAAATCACTGACTCTATAAAATCGGCTCTCCGTTAAGTTTCAGTTTCGGTTATCTTTTTCAAAAAGGTGACGTTTTTTAGTGATGTCATAGACAACAAAGCATGTTAAGTTTCTTTTGCGCGTGCAAAAAGTCCTCTTCTAGAGCTGCGATACTAATGGTCAGCAACAAAGCATCTGTGGGTGTGGGTTGGTATTCACAGCGGTCAAACGAGTGAAATTTGCAAAAGTTAAGCGAAATACTTCAAAGTTAAGGTTGCTACTTTCACTATCGAAAGTTTAGGGTATTACCAACATCCTGTTAGTTTACTAAACTTTTTAAAAGTTTACTAAAAAAGTTCGAAGTGATTGAAAACCGATGCTGACGTTATTATCGGCGCCATTTTCAAACATGATTCTCTTTTAGCGCGAAGCGTTTTCAGCGAAAAAAGCTCAAANAATCGAATAAATAAGGTACTCATGTTAAGCTCATCGGTTGTTTGTTTATCATTCACGTATTAAACGTCTTCAAAAATAAGAAAGGTATTATTAAAATTCTAGCTAGTTTATAGTTCTGTCATTGATATTAATCAGATGGATAAGATCTTTTTTGCAATAATTATGCCTAGCGGCTAGGAACGATTTGCGTAGGGCGCTTGACTCGTTTTGATTAGATTACTAGAGACTTCACATAAATATGGTATTTGCAGCTTCTTTACTAGACTTTCAAAAAAGTCCTTAGTCGGATCAGGAGCCGTCGGCTCCTGGTCGGATTTAATATGGTGCGGGACCTCTCGCTACTTCTTGGTCGGCCGCTTCGCTTAAAGAGGTCGACTTGAAGCACTGGAAAATGCAATTTTGCTGTTGTCCGGGGTGGGGGCATGGCATTTCCTTCTTTAAACCCCACAGTTGGGTTTTTGGTATGAACGCCCGGCCCACCGTGAGGATAGGCACGCTTTTGAGACCCCGTAAGACGGGGATTGTGGGTTGGCGGGAAGGATCTTTTTACATCATAGTCACGTGGTCCTGTTCACTTCTCCTCGCTTCTTTGGTTTGCAAATGAGCGGAAAATGACCATATATTTTTGGTATTTGACAGAACGGAAATAGAAACACGCACCTAGACAACAAACTATCGATCCGATACGTTTGAATTGGTTTCTAAAACTTGCCCAGTTTAATTTGTGAGGTGAACTTTCCTGGATGAAAAATGACCAGCCTTTAACATAATATGGCAACCGATCTGATGGCGGTGAGCAGCGATTCTTCTGTTCTCAAAAAGGAGCGCGCAAATTCTATTTCGGTGGTGGTAAGTTCCGCTTAATTTCTCAGTGAAGCAGCGATATTCCATTCCCTGAAGCAGTCGAATTGGCTCATTTTAATTAAGGTTGTTTTTGAGAATAACATTCCTAGATCTGACCGGACCATCGACGGGTCTTTCAACCATGATAACAATGAACCCCTTGAAGTATGTTATTGATCTACGGGCATTTATCTCATCATATTTCATAAATAACTAGATCGATGTATCTTTAATTTAAGCCTTAAAGCTACACAGAATTGGTGGTTATTTTGTCGGCTAGTATTGGTGTTATCTGTAGTGATCAATGAAGTGTTAACTTGTAAAAAGCTTAAGTACCTTGATATTTTTCTGTGTAATTTTTACGCAGCAGGACGACGGCGAATTTGGCGCTCGTCAAACTTCTGCCAGATGGAAACTTCAACACAAGAGACAAGTTTTAAATCACAAAATATTTCGGCAGACAAAATTGCGAGACGGAGCAGAAAATCTGATGAAAGCTCTAAGGTTAGGTTTTGTTCTCTTGTCAAGGTTTCTCAGATTAAGTTAAAAAGCTTTTACTGAATTATAAGCTTAGCCTACTATAAATAGATTTTCTTGTGGGCATCTGATTTGAATTTGGACGTGAACTCAAGCCTTAGAAACTTCATATCTAGTACTCTCCTGTTTTATTTTGATGTTATTTTGTAAATAATATATGTTTATTTTTTTTGTTTTTAAGCTTTAAATTCTCTTGACCCGATAGTCTGAAAAAATTGTAGAAGATTTCAATTTTGATTCACATGTCTGATTAAAACAATTACGTAAAAGACACCAATAATGTTAATTTTATAAATCATATTCTGTAAACCTCTTTCAAATATTATGATTTCCCTGCTGTTAGAGAGCTCTTGGAGTCTTTTTTAAAATCCTTAGCCATAAGTCTATGACCTTTGTTCAAAAAAAGCATTTGGCAATTTTTTCACAGATCTTTCACAAACTTTCGAAAGGCTAGCTTGCAATGGCAGTTTGGTTAGAGGGGAAGGCTCCCCAGATACTCATGCCATTATGTGCTTCCAACTGGGGTTGTGAAGTTTCCATGTGATCATCTGGACTGCCCCAGTTGTTTCAAGTTAGTAATGTTCAGGTGATTCAGCTGATTTAATATGGAAACACTACCCGGAGAACAATAATGCCAAAGACCCCGTTCAATGGGTTGACCTTGATCGTGTGGATAGATCTAAGTTCTATCTAGTAGGTTGGGATGATCAAGAAAAATATGAAGTGATCATATGGAAACAGTTTCAGATAATCAAAACGATCGAAGGCTATCCCAAAATTATCACTCATTTTGAATGAGTCATATCATCCACATTTTTTTACGTTTCTTTTATTTATACATGTAGGTATAAGGGGCCTTTCTTGTAACATACATAAAATGGCAACGAATAACACAAAAATGAGTTGAAACTATGACAGCGACAAAGACAAGCATTAAAAAAATAGAAAATTAAAGCAGGGATGTGGCTTCCTTCTTAATACAAACAACAGGTTTTGAAATTCAGACTTGGGACATACGTAGCCTCCTGTTAAGGAGGGCCTCATGATCCAGTGATCCTGGGTTCAAGTCTCAATTTGAGCTTTAGCTGGAGTTGATTTTCGACAGTCTTGAGTTCAACTCCTCATACAGCCATAATTGTAAGCCAATTAAACAACTGGTTAACTTTCACCACTTCGGGTTTTAATTTTGTCTATGCTGTTATCTTGAGATTATTAATTTGTTTGTCGCCCTTGAGTTCAATCAGGGCTGTCATTAAGAGTAGGGAGCCGGGGATTGAGTGTGGTCTCCAGCTACTCTTATTAGAAAATAGAAGAAACATAGAACCAAAAGAAATCCCTAGCTGTTTGATTCCCTACCTACTTGTTGTATCTACCTGGGAACTTGAAATCTTATTGACAACCCTGACAACAGAGTGCCTATTAAAAAACTAGCTATAGTAGCTTTTTAAGTCTGGTGGAAACGGTTTTGCACCTGAACAACCAAGGGTGCCACAGGGATTTCAATAATAATTGAAGTAGCCAGCAGGTTTGAGTAGAGTACTCGACTGTCTCAACAAAGGGGCTCTTAATCCTCACCTCTAGGGGGTTCCCAGGGCATGCTCCCTCAGAAAACTTTGAAATTTCAAAGCCCTTAAATGCGATTTCAAGCGTTCTGGGGACTAAATTGAGTATGAAAGAGTGTGTTTTTCTTTCAAGAAAATGTAGCTTTCATTCAGGTTCTGATTATCAACCACACAACTAATAATTACAAGCAATGAACAAACGTACATTTGAACGAGAACAAAATTATGTGTAAACCTCTAAAGAAACTTGTGAAGAATTGACTGAAGTACAGCGTTTGCATAACTAAAGCATAACTCAAAACCAGTGGGCCTTTACATTTTCATTCAGATTTTATGATATGTTATTTGTTTATGACATCATAAGCACTAGGTGCTTCTTCCTTCGTGGAGAAAAGTAGCCAACTTCTCTGAGCAAAATAACTGACACGTGTCGTCGATCGTCGGTGCTTATCGAAACCCCTGGTGTCAGGTTCTGTTTCCCAAACTGTGTCTGCATGCCAAAGTTTCAACACTGTGTTTTAGGAATTTCTTTAAAAATATGAAAAAATAAATTGTCTTTGAAAGTGGTTAAACAACAAATAGTTTGCTTTGTTGCAGGTTAACGAATGATCGTAAAACAAAACTTGCTGTCAAGACAGAGTTGAGTTTTGCCAATTCTCAGCTGGATTTGCTGAAAGAAGAATTGGAAGGGATTAACAGTACATTTGATGTCTATCAATTTGACAGGTGTGGTATATACATACATGTAGATGTTATGTTGGGGATAAATTTGTTGTCAAAGTAAAGTAAGGTTAAAGGCTTTTAACATAGATTGATTCTCAATTTCCTTTAATGTCTCTGTTGTTAATAAAAGATAATGGCCACAATACAAAGGAAAGTGAGAATCAACCTACCAGTAGCTTAAAAAGTTTTAAACCTGAATTTCATTTTGACCCATGAAATACAGGCTGCATTTAGATTATAATGCAGGTTGTGGAAAAATAATGTAGAAGGTGATTATTGAATTTTATAACTAAAGTTAATATTCCTGTCTGGGAAGTCAGCTGGAATTAAAAAAAATACATGTCTATTAATCTTCTGTGAAAGGTCATTGAGTATGCGTTATTTGAAGCAAACTTTGATTTTTCTATCTTGAGAGAGTTAGAATGGCCATTTCATACTAGCAATGGATTAATAGACAGGCCCCAGTAGTTCAAGAAATAGATAACACTATCCAATGCATAAATCTCTATCTATTAGCTGACACAATTCGGAGTGCAGAGAAAATTGTTTTTACAGCTTGCCATTTGGGCAAGCTGATGCTAGCATTTACTAGCTCAGATGTCATTTCAATTAGCCCCCAAAACTTTTTGACTAGCAGAATTGATTTCACAGTTCTTCTTTTATTTGAATTCCTCAAAAAACATCACTTTCCCATCGGGCAAGTCTAAAACAGAATCCACTAGCCCGATAGCAAAATCCATTAGCCCTGGGCCATCGGACACTACCTTCTTTGCATGCTGCAATTGGTTCCCCTGAACCTTATCTGCTGGACAGTGATTTATCCAGTGGATAATGCTATGTACAGTCGACTCCCGGTAACTCTAACCCTCTATAACTTGAACCTCCTGCTAACTCGAAGCAATTTTCATTTCCCTTCAGAACATTTGCTGTTTAATTTTACCCTTGATAACTCGAACCTCCGATAACTCAAACTTTTTTCTGTTTCCCTCAAAGGTTCGAGTTACCAGGAGTCGACAGTAGTGTTTGAACAACCCGGGCCAGATGGATAAAATCAGATGGATTCTTCATTAATCCAAAGTGAACACTATCGTATTTTAACATCAAGACAGATTATCCATCTGTCAAATACCCCCTTTGAGATGTATGAAGTATGAAGACGGCCAGTGCCTGTCTGCAGAAAAAAAGCCTAGCCAACATTCCCGTCTTGAAAGATTGACAGTCACTAATTTATTACATGTGTTATTACTATTAATTTAGTTTAATGCATTTGTTTGATATGCAATTTAGGAGTGTTGAGCACCAGATCCCTTTGATTGCTGTTGGTCTCAGAGAAACAAAGGATCTTGAGTTCAAGGCTAATTTTAAAGTTAGTACAATAACTAGCTGCTATACAGTGTAACTGCAAAGTATACAGTAATACTTGTCTTATCAACTTAGAAAGTTCATAATCAATTTCAGCTAACTCATTTAAGATCATCTTCTCTGAATCACTCAACTCAGCTGGTGGAACAAGATCTTGATGTAATATGTCGGCTTTTTTAATTTCATAGCTTTATCTGTTTCAAATATACCTGTGAATGTCATTATTTGTATTTTTTTACCTTTCTACAGATTTGAGCAAAAAGTCATATACTGTAAGCTGATAAAATTCCCCCATTAATGAATAACCTATACATTGTTGATTTATGTAGTGTAACTTAATCATAGTTGAAAACTGAAAGGGTCAGGAAGGTTCTTTTTGTGTAATAATGTACAATCAATAAATGTATTAGTCATATTTCAGGCAGTATTGCAGATGTACCTTGTATGCTAACCATACTGCCTATGCATAGGAGTAAGATTCTTTAAGTTTTGCATAACCCATCCCCCCCCCTCCATCCCCTTCTGCCTCTGCTATCAAAAATGCTAAATTTTGTTTGCACTTTAGCTTGTCTAAGGCATCCTTCAGTTGTGTTTGGGTAGAATTCACTTTAATTTTCACTGTATTCTCTGTTCTAAAGTCATTTTATGAATTTACTGTACATAGCTCACTGTCTTATATTAATTGGTAATGGTGAGTTATATGGAATATTGCTGTGTAAAAATTATGTGCAAATGCATTTTCTTTATCCTTGATTACTACCAGGTCTCTTACAGTGTATAATACATGTAGCCCAAGCACTACTACATTTATTCACTGTAGTTTGCCTTTTACAAGTAAAATGGGTGTCTAGAAAACAAATACCCCTAAGACCACTAAGACACCCACCAAATGAATCTGAACTTAATTGGTTAGGGTTAGGAAACTGAGTGAATCAGGTTCCATTTAAGTCATTACACTGGACAAACTGACCTGAAAGTTAATTAGCTGAGTTTCCTAGCTAATCAATAAAGTTCAGAGTCATTCGGTGGGGTCTTAGGGGGTCCTAGGGGTCTTTGTTTTCAAGACTCCCCAAGTAAAACCCTCTAGGCAACCGCATGACATCTCATAGCAAACCAAAAGCACACAAAATAATTATATAAAAGTATTATTTTTTATTTCTTTCTCAAGTTTACTTCTTTTGTAAAATTTTAAATCCCTTGGCTTCAATACTTTAATAGTCCCCATTCTAACAGCTGATAAGCAACTTGACCAGGTGGTAATGATTATTTTGTTTCATTTTAGGATGTTATTTTGTATCATTATGGTGAAGCTCCAGACGATTATGAAAAGGAGTTGGAGCTGTTTGAAAATCTTAGAAAGGTTTGTTTAGCAACTCATAAAAATATGTTTGAGCAAGACAGAACATTAGAATGAGATATTGGGCGCTTTCCATTTGACCTCAAGTTCTGAAAATTTGGAAATGGTGGCCTATGGCACAGAAATTTCTGCCGAAAATTTCCAGAAAGACAAAAAAATGCAGGGTGCTCATTAGGCATCAGAGATTGGAGAATTCTCTGTTTACGGTGAAAAATTCTCTCGCTAATGTTCGGTAGCCTGTGACCATTTTTTATTCAGATGAGGAGCCTCTTTCAAAATATTTTCCTGTAACGTTACACCTTTCTCTTGCTACTAGAATGCTTTATAAAAACTCTGGAGCTGTTAAATTTCTGAAATGCGAACCATTGAACCAAAAGTTCAGTCAATTAAGGGAGCAAAGTTAAATGAAAAGAAAAGTTTCAGGAAGGAATTATTGCAAATTTTTGGACACCACGTGAGGTTGTCCTCTTTTTTAAAAATTTTTGATAATGCTTTTCCATTCGCTACTATAAGTTGCTGAGAATCTAAACCAGAAGTTTTGGTTAAATGAAAAGCTCCCATTATGTTAAAAAAATTCCCATTCACCAATTTCCTTTAGACCATATAATGCACTTGTTTACCCTCCAAAACCTTGCATAGCCATTGTCTTTGAATTCTCTTGGCATATGGGACGACTGTTATGCCCAGTAGAATTTGGAAGCAATGGTTATGCAAACTTTTGGGGGTAAACAAAGTGCATTGTGGTCTATGTGAAAATGGTGAATATCAATGATATAACCAATATTTGTTTTTATTGCATTAGGGTGGATTTTCACTTTTGCACATGAAATTTATTTTCGTAAATTATAAATTTGCAATGTATAAAAGGCTTTGCATATATGTATCCGTAAAAGTTAAACCTTGCTTGACTTTTACATTTTCAAGAATTGCCTCTTGGCCATAAAATTTTTCTGTATGCACTTAAAAAGTTATGACTGGAAATCTACCTATAAGAGGTAATTGCATAGTTTTGTCATTGCAAATAAAGGCATAAAGTTATTGGACTCTTGTAAGAAGGAGCAAAATATTAATATTATTGTGGGCTTGGGCCTCTTATAGTTGGGTTCTCCTCTTGCCACTGATGAAAATTGCTGTCTAGAGAACAGAGGAGCATTGGCAATATACACAAAAAAGTTCCACTGTACTTGTGATAAATTTAATTGATAAAAAAAAAACATGACGTAAATAATTACTTTAAAGTGAAGTAAATGTGGATGAATTAAGTTGTCTTCCTTGTGGCTAAAATTAATTATTTCCCTGGTTACTTTAAGTGCAGTGAAATGTACTTTTCAGGGCCCTCAAAATTAATTACATGAAGAACTTTCTTAACTCTGGGTTAAACACTGATCAGGCCCAAGTACTGTTGTGCACCCACTTGAATTTTTCCTCCTCCTTCTCAAAACTTTCTGGAGAACCCTTATGCGAATTATCCTGATAACTGGCTTGTAGCAACTGGGTTTTATTGTGGCAACTGCATGCAAGTAGACTGTCCTCTGCAACCCTGTGAAAGTTTTTGTGAAGAGAGTTTAAACTGTAGAAGTATTCTGTATCATTATTGATGCAGCAATGCTGTTCTGCACCAGTTAAAAAAATTATTTTGCAAATTTTTTTTGGTCTAGTTCGAATTATGAGGTCAAGCCACGATTACTGTATAGAATCAAAACCCTGTTTCAGTTCACATTCATCAAACTTCACCGAATCTTGTAGACATTGTTAGGCTTTTTGTTTGCAGCTGTTGCGACAACAATATAAACTATACTAATCAGTTCTGGTGCAAACTTGTTTCTGGAACGAGTTGGATAAATAATAGACTAACCTTCATTAGCAAATTTCCCGCTAATGCATATTTGTTGCATTTGAAGGGTGTTAAGGTGGATGCTAATCTCTGAGCTGTACTGTAAGTTGATTTGATTCATTTCCAACTTGTTGTTGTTGTTCCTAGGAAGCTGTGTGCAAGGTCAGCAGAGATGAGGGTGGTATTCATGCTTTGTTCTCGTATTACAATCAACTGTATTTTGTGGAGAAGAAATTCTTTCCTCAAAGAAAAGGAGTAGCCATGCCAGTTTACTTTCACTGGTAAGACAACTTATGATAATTATGAGAAGATACTATATAACTTTACTTCCAAGATAGCCTACCTAGTATGCAAATAAAAAGTTTGTTAATGGCACATTAATAACCAAGGCATCTTAAATATTAATGTTGTAGAGAGAGAGTTAGCTGATAACACCATTATCTTAAAAGGCATTTCGCTATATTTGAACATTACTTATCATTCAGAATAGTAATATTATTATTCACCTTTCAACAATAATTATTGAAGTTTTGCTGTCTTCTAAAGGTTTGATATGACAACTGGTCTACCAAAAATACAGAGGTCTCTAGCATTTGAAAAGGTATGGCCTTGTCACTCTTCCAACTGAAAATAGTGATGTGATGTATAAAAACCCACATAAGAAACCCTGACTTTTGGCAACAGGCTGTGTTATGAAGCAAGAGTGTAGCGTGATTGAGAGATGGCGTGATTTTATTCCTTTTAGATTTTGTTATTAATAGTTTCACTGGTGTGTCAGAGCGACAGAAAACTTGATGACAGATCGGATTAAAAACTAAAGCTTATAGATTCACTGAAGTCACGATTTCGTGTCATTTGTGAGAGAGCCATTGTACTGTGAGGATTGAAGCTGTGAAATAAACCCTGTTTTTGCTTAAAACTGTGATATCGTGAAGAACGACCCTTCGGCATTCACGACAGCTGTAACTCAGTTTTGTATCCTTCGCTATAGAGAGTCTTGTAAATGGTGCTTTAGGTTCTTTCTTCAAAGTTTCTTGTGAAATACAAGTTTGTGCAGCATCGAAATAAGCTTAATTTCTTCACTTCAACATTGTTAATTTGTAGAGTAATCTACAAATCTCTACAGGAAATAGACTTTGTTACTGGAAAAGAGGTTTCATAAAAAGCCAGGTGAAAAGATGCCTCCTGCCTTAGGATTTTGGGGGCAAGGATCAGGGCAGCTAGTGTAACGGAAGAAATTCTTTAAAGATACATACTATTATTTTCCTTTTTTAATTGTAATAATTTTGATTGCAGGCTAGCATTCTCTTTAACATTGGTTCTATCTGGAGTCAAATTGGAGCAAAGCAAGTAAGGAGACTTAATTGAATGCCTAAGTTTGCATTGCAAAGATAGCTATAACCTGCAATCAGGTGGGGGTTTTTTTTAGAATAAAGTAGGGAAAAAGAGCAATGCCTTTATTTTTTCATGACCACCATCTTCCCCTGCTTTAAAATAATTAACATCTGGTTGACTAGTCATAAACATGGCATGAAAAAATGAAAATGCCTGCTCTTTTTACTCTGGAAAATCTAAACAATAACTATGTTCAGGGATCGTTTCTTCTAAAAATTAGCAAAAGCGTGTTTCTGTGATTGAGTAGCATCAGCTGGATTTTTATTTCAATATTATTTAATCAGCCACAAAATCACAAAAAGAAAACATAAGCTGGTGGGAATCTTGGCACTAAATTGGTTTTGTTTCATTCAAGTGTCGCTTTCCTGTGGGACGTCAAATCTTATCTTCAGCCATTTAAAACAGAACCGTACATCTGGAGAGATCTACATCTTGAGAAAGTTTTCCCCATCATGTCCACATTCCTATGCAACAAAACTATTTCCAAAACAATGCCTTTGCGGGAAGAAATCCCCTTCCCCCAGTTTAATGTTGCTTCCTACAAACGCCCAGGGATCAGGCTTTCTTTTGAATACACAACAACACTGCTTTCAGGAGAAGGGGGAAAAACCGGTACAGCTACGGTGTTTAGAAAAATGTTCCCTAAGTATACAATTTCTCAACAGTTTTGTCCAAGATTGTGGCCTGTATCACAGATGTAATTTAACCTCAGTTAGTAACGTCTGCGAAGCAGCACCAATATCCTTCTTCTGTGCCCCCAGTGGACCCAACTAATTTGGAATTTCCTTTCATACTGATTGGTAAATCAACCAGCGTGCAAAGAAAAAAGTGTCCGATAGCCTGGGGCTAGTGGATTTTGCTATCTGGCTAGTGAATTCTGTTTTTAACTTGCCCAACGGGCAAGTGATGTTTTTTTGAAAATCTGAATAACAGAAGAACGGTGAAATCAATTCTGCTCATCAAAAAGTTTTTGCCGTGGGGCTAGTTGAAATGACTTGTGGGCTACTAACTGCTAGCTTCAGCTTGCCTGAATGACAAGCTGTAAAAATGATTTTCTTTGCACCCTGATCAACAGTGGCTTTTTTTGACAAACCATTCATTGCACTTACTCAAATCTTGGTACACAGGTAGTTGCCCAGAACAATGATTTTGGTGCTGTTGTGCAGACAGACTTAACCAGAATTTAGTTTTGTCTGTGGTGCAGGCTACCTTTTTGCTTATCAAATTAACAGTTTCGTTTTATCTTGTGTTACCTGTGGATTCTCCACTCCAAGGGGTTGGATGCTTATTTGGGACAGGGCAAATAAGTACTGACATTTCATAATTTTCCCTTTATGAAGGACAGAAGAACTCAAGAAGGTCTTACCAAGGCAATTGATGTTTTTCAGAAAGCTGCTGGTTAGTGTGAAAATATTCATTCGTAAATTTCTAACAATCATTATATTATTCATTCAAAGCATTTTTCCGTTACTGATTAAGTAAAATACCATGCATTTTTCATCATAACCAGATACTGTCGACCAAATTTGGAAGAATATGTGAAGAATGACGTCAATCTGCCTTGGCAGATAACACCCTCCTCATCCTCCATAATTCTTCAGATGATACTCAGCCTCTCTCAATATTGCTTATTATTTTTCCAGGTGTGTTCAGATTTATCAAAGATAATTTCATCAACTCTCCAAGTGCTGACTTAACACCAGAGCTAATGGACATGTTGATGGCTGTTATGCTGGTATGTTACCAACATGTCAATTCTCCTCGCTTGTTCTTCTGTATTCTTTTTGCATCTTTTCTGAGAATTCAATTGCTCATCAGTAGTATCCTCCTCGAAAAACCTGCAAAGCTAAAAAAAAAACTTGGATTCCAGCTTGTCTTTTGGGAAAGCAGCTATCACATTTTGCTTGTGTCCAGGGTGTATATGCAGTACTGTAAATTCCATGTATAAGCCCCTCCAAATGTAAGCCCCCCAAACTCGTAATGCAAAAAACCCTCTGTTAAATCGCCCCTCCAAATCTAAGCCCCCCTGGGGGCTTGTACTTGGAAATTGCCGTCAAATACAAAGTAAAAGAAAGCAGAAATGGTAAATTTCCTTCCAACTATAAGGCTAGCCCAATATAAGCTGAATATAAGCCCTTCCAAAAATAAGCACCTCAAAAAGGGCCTTTGAAAAATATAAGCCCTGGGGCTTATTTTCAGAATTTTACAGCATTTGGTGATTTATTATTTTTCTCTCTTGAAGCAACTATTGAGTCATTTCAAAAAATCCAGCATAAGGTAAATTTGTGTGTTTTTTTTGGCAGGCTCAAGCTCAGGTTTGTAGGTGGGAGGAACGTCTTCTTGAAGGAATAGAAAGCAAACTAGCAGACATGGTTAGCGCAGCTCAGGAGTGTGCTGAGGTAGAGTATTAATAATAACTGACAGAGGTATTAATATAATAGCAATTATTCACTGAAGTAGAAGTGGCTAGTCGTGCATATTTACTAAGCTGCAACGCAGCGAGGTTAAGTATCCACTACTAGCCACCGACACTGAGGTGAATAATTGCTTTAGTACGTACTAAAACAGTGAGATAATTGAGGAAAAAAATGATGATTTTTAACTCAAATACTGTTGCCAGCGATTACAATTTTGGCGCGTAATGACCGAATGGCCGGGCCCGTTGCTTTTTCTTGCCGGCAAATAATGCTTTTGAAGGCTTTAATTTGTTTAGCTCTTGCGGGGAAATTTCTTCAAAAGGAGTTGTGAATTCTTTTTGTATTTAAAAAAGGTTATTAAGTTTAGTTTTAAGCTTATTTATGAACAAGTCAACTAAATAAAATAATGCAAGACTTAAGCTTAATTTGCATTTGTAAACAAAAAACTTTTTGACCAGTTTTATCGATAGATTCTAGTAAAAAAGACAAAGCTTTACCTGTTAAAACTTCCAAATCGAACTTCGTCACCTTCTTCGTGTATTTCGGGAACAGCTTGGTTAGTTGTGAAGTTTCTTTGTTTGTTACGGCAGCAAACCAGGAAGGCATTTTACTCGCAACTTAGGCGAGTTTGGCGTCGCTCGCTCAGAGGAACTGGAGGTGGATCAGTGAATAGTGCAGGATATTCACTGACTGAGTAGCCAATCAGAGCGCAAGAAAAACACTATCCACTGTATTAGTATATACTAAATAAATTTATACATGTATTCCCATTCATTTCAAGCTTGCTATTAGAGGAGAAGAAAAAGTTTGGGAGGATTATTTTTTTTTGTCAATAACTCATGTGATTACATACTGAATTAATAATATTATACCCCCCCACCTGCCCCCTTGATACTGGATCTCTGTGTTATGTCAAACATATTATCACATGTCAATTTCTACTTTGTATAGTTGCAGTTAATGCTTATGGCAGTTTAAGGAAATCATTGATTCTGGAAATCACACTGTATGCATCCTAGCCTGCATAACAGGTGCTTTATGAGCCAAGCGAGATGAACGTGGCATTTTGTGCAAAGTGCGAAACAAGTGCAGCATCCTGATTGTTATTAGCTACAGCTGTGATCTTTTGATTACTTTCTGCAGGTTAGTAATAGATACAAAAGGGCACAGATGATGATGAATGCTGGAATCTGCTTGAGTTGTGTTCCTTCTTCTTGGAAAAACTTGATGTCGGTGAGTTGTATGAAGTGTTAAATTTTGGCTGACTTCTCCATTGTATTAAAGGCAACATAATTTTAGGCAATAATGAATGACAGCTGTCTGGTAATAAATTTATTGTTATTATTAATTACATGAAATTTACTTTATTTGAAGGTTATGTGTCTCCACTACAAAGCCTTATCGCACTATTATGTTGCAGATGGGTTGCTGAAAAGTGTTGGTAAGGTCTGATAATTTATCTAGTGTTTAGTATCAAAATATTACTGCATTAGGGCTTTTACTAAGTCACTACGTTAAACAGCTCAATTGCTACCTCCTTTCACTGTATTGTTTCACCCATTGGCAAAAAGTCCCATCTGGGGACGCAATACAATTTTTTTGTTTTAATATTCGGTAGGTACTCCCAGTGATGAAGAACAAAAAGAAATAGTGATGTCGTTATTGTATACATCTCAGCCAGATGGTAATGCCACCAGGCAAAAACAAGGTAATAATTCTCTTTCTCCTCCAAAATGTGACAGCAAATTTCACTCTGATGTTATTGCAAAATTGTCTCTTTTCCTTTGTGTGAAAAGTCAAGCCTTAGAAGAAAGGAAGTGCTTTTTGTAGATCACCCTGTCAATTTTAATAATAGAAACATATTCACCTGGATAGTCAGAGGGGATTTTAATGCAATATCAAACTTAATTTGCTAAGTTGCGATTTTTAAGAAGCAGGAAATTTCTGCTATATAACAGCATTATAATGCCAAAAGTTGACCCTGTCATGTTTTAGAAGTGAAGAACGACAACAATAATATTATTTTGGAATTTCTGGTTAGATCAAACTACAATGGTCACGTTATCTTTTCTTGTTTCAAAAGGCTAACTTGCCTGTTTTTGTTCAGTGGTAGAAGTTACTTTACAGTCCCTGCTAAGAAATTGTCACATATGCCGGCTGACCAATTTGGTGGTCATGTTGACTATTGAACTAAGCATGTCTTTTCTACCAGCAAAAAATGAAGTTTTTCTTTAACTTAGTTTATTAATAATGTGGTCATTAGCACACGAGCTAACATACATGGTTAAATTTCAGCCAAAGCACACCTTCATTCTGCCCTAAAATTGCATGAAGAAGCCATGAAAGCAAGACAGATTTGTAGGCATTGCAGAAAAATTGCAGGTCTACATAAGGTAAAATAGCAACAAATGAGAAATGCATTATTTTACAACTTGAGGATCCTTGCATGAATTTTTTATAACAAATTGTCTATCAGACATTGTCATACATGTTAGTTATAATTTAAATAGGGCATATTATTTTCCATCCAATTTTTTACCAGGCTCTTCAAGAAGCTCGCATGACAACCACCAACACACTGGTTGCTATGGAAGAAGAAGATGACTTTGATGATCCTATGACCCCTACCCCAGTAAAAGGTCTGTTTAATGATATCAAGGTTTGCATATACCAGCAGCTTGTTGTTTAATGTCATGTACGCTTAATATTTTTGTCCATGTTCTTCCCAATGCCTTAATAATGTTATTGCGGCAGGAATTTTTCAAGTCATAGTAACTTAATAGGAGTTTTATTTTGCAGCATTGCCAAGAGTAAAGGCCTGTTGTATTCAGCCCAACTTCAACAGTGCATCAGTAGAAGACTTGTTTCACAAACTGGTAAGCAACTCAGTTACCTTTCTAAGCATTTTTATGGCTCATATCTTTAATTATCTTATGTAGCTGTACTCTGTCATGTGTGACTATTATTGCCAAAATTTAAGTGCATACATGGGGTGTTTTGAACAGACAGAAAATTGTTGTTGCCCGAAATATCTGTATGTCTAAACTGTTCGTCAGTAGGATGCCTAAAATGTGTGCAATTCCACAATTGGTTTCGGCTCCATTAAATCCTATACCAATTGCAGAACATTTTAGGAGGAGCCACCCATATTAGTGAACTTATGCAACAGGACGGGAGAGGAAAGAAGACGGCAAACCTTGTGTGACAAGCGTGACAATAATTTTATTTGAAACAACTTTTCGCCAAACTTCACTTTCCTTTAAACAGATCTTTTTGTAAAGGACCAGAAAACCTTGGTGTTCAGTGAAGATCACGACAAAACCCACAAGTGATAGCCCTGTCACGTTTGTCACACACAGCTGTTTTGCCGTCCTCTTCTTCCTGCCGTCCTGTTGCGTAAACTCACTAATGTTACAGCACAGTTACTGACAAGGCCTATGAGTGGGAAGCCAGTCTATTGCAGTGTGTTAAATAATGAAAATAAAAATACAGTCACACCAGTTAAAAAAGTGAATAAAGCATGTGCAATTTTGGGATTAAAATTGCATGTGCACACACAACCTACACCAAAATACTGGAAGAATTCTGGAATAATTAAATCAACAAAGGATATGGTGGTACCACGCAACCATTGATTGCCAGTGTCATCACCCTGGGTGTAGTGTTATACTTCTTGACGATAATGCTATGACTCTTGAAGAACTTGCTGGTTGAGTTGGTGTGGGGTCATGTTTGAATTTTTACAGATGGAACTATAAAAAAAGTTAATTTATCATTTTTGAAGCAATCACTAGAGAGATCTTCAAGGTTTCCTTCAAATCTCAAACTTAGAGAAATTTGGTCTCCTCAAATGGCCATGTAATGTTCTATTTTATTATGGAAACACCAATGAAATACTAAACCATTCACTAAAATATCTTTTGCTGTTAATGGCATGATTTATTATTATTTATGTAAATGTAGTATGCCACCACTCCTTGACCACCAGGTATTTGTAAAGTAGTATAATATTGGATGGACACAAAGTTTACTTTAAAAAATACCATTTTCTTTTTAGGGTCCTGTCCACATCTTCAATGCAAAATCAGAATGGAGTGCAACAAAAACTGTCACGCTGGAAAGAAGAAACGGTGGATATGGCTTCAGTGTTATTGGCTCTGCTCCTGTGATTGTACAGAGCGTAGAGAAAGAAGGAGCTGCAAAGGTGATTTACACCGACATTAACTTACTGTCCAGGGATTTATAAATATTCTGCAAAGATGATCCTCTAATAAGACAGTCATGATAGTGGAAACTCTGGTAGGTACAAAAAACACAGGTCATAGGTCACAAGTGCAAGTCACTGCTCTACTGATATAAAAATAAGAATAATTTGCAGTTTCCCCTTAAGCTAACACTCTATTTAGTATTGCTCGGAGACACTTGAAGTTTTGCTTATTTCCTGTAGCACGGTGACCTTTACTCTAACCTGCACTTGTGACCTGAGTCCTGTAACGTGTGTTTTGTACCTGCAGTTTTAAACAATAAAGAATTTGTGCCAGGTCTAAAGTACAGGTCACTTTCCACAGGTCAAGATCAGTAGAAGTCACTGCTCCATTGATAAATTACTAAACCACACAGTTTCCCCTCAAAATAAAAGTACCACTTTTGTAAAGAGATATATTATGGCTAGGAGACACATTGCTGTTAATATATCTGTAGCATGGTGACCTGTTCTCTGACCCGTGGTTTAAACCCACCACTTGAAAGCTCAATCAGTAACACACTCACTTTTGAGTTAGCAGTTATTATAGTCTCCTCAGTTTTTTGTTACTTGGATAACTATGTGACATAAAAGGATATGTTGATAAATCACCTGTTGGGTTAATTTATTGTCATTATTTTTTTTATTTTTGCATCATAGGATGCAGGGGTCCAAGTTGGAGACGTAATCACTGGAGTTGACAATACAGACTGCAAATGGGGAGATCACTCATTTGTTGTCTCATTAATTCGCAATACTGAAACCTGCGTAACACTTGATATTGTGACACCCAACTCTCTCAAAGAGATAGCTGAGATATACAATGTTAAACTGGCAAGAGATGACCAAGTTGTAACAAGTGACTATAGTGGTTCTATTGGGAGTAGGAGTTCTAGCTCTTCACGTAACAGTACCCTTAATGGATTGTACTCTCTGACTGGAAGCACCCACAGTTCAACTGGTTCAAGACCTGGAACTCCTGTGAAGCACAGTGCTGCGCTAGAAACTGGAAATGAGTCAATAATGTGGTAGCAGATGGTGGATGTTAATAATTGTGAATGAGCAGCAAGTTGCTTTCATTATAAAGGCAGTCCAAGTGATCTATGCAAAATCTCACTTTTGAAGTATTCAAGGAAGAGAATTGTGTGTACTAAAATTTCTAAAGGCTCATCTGGTTCTTAATTTTTTTCTGCAGTCAAGGGAAATACTTTGATGGAACCTTGTGTGAGAGGTAGATTGCAGTTCTACTATAAAGAAAGACCGTCTGAATTAGTAACTTTCCCATATACATTTCAGTAATACTGTAAATGATAATAAATTAATACTGCAGTCATGATCAACATACCCTTAAGTAAACAGTACCGTACAATAGCTGGTCATGTTAGCATTTGGAATGACACAATATTTTATTGTATATCAGTGGCAAGTACTATAGTTTTTTTTTTGTAGATCACAGGTCACAAGTAAGGTTAGAGGACAGATCACTGTACAACGGCAAATAGACAACAGTAAACACCCAAAGTGTCTCCTAGCTAAAATTAATTGTAGACTCCACAATAGAGTTTTAGCTTTAAGAGGAAACTGATTATCTCAGCTATTCATCAATAGAGCAGAGACCTGCACTTGTGACCTGTGACCTTTGTTTTGTGCATGGGAGTATATTATGTTAACTGCAAGTCTGACAGGTGAATGTTAATTCATGTGTCTTGTTTTGCCTACTGTGTATTTATTTTGTTATTGAAAATAATTAATTCTGTAAATTTGAGTGTATAATGTACATAACTCACCACCTCTGCAATCAGAACGCTTTTGGATATAACATACTTACAGCAACATTGTTCCTTAAATATTTAGAATAAACTAATAGTGATTGCTTGAAACTATAATATTATATTTTTGTCTGAATACTACTTGACCAAAAAGAAGGCAAGATTAATTTCAGAAGAAAAGAAACTTGCAATGTTTTCATCATTGCCTTGAACCTAAGGGCCGTATTACACTTTATTAACCTTGTAAACTAGAAAGTTTTAATATTATTGCTTGCTGGAGAGCTTGATATGTCTATTATTCTATGTTAAGAGAGTCATAATTGGGCATTATTAACTGTCGCAACTGTATGGATGCAGAAAAATACAGGAAAATAGTAACTTGGAAAGTTATATAATACATAACTATTTTATTATTGGTTCAGCCACACCATAATTTACCCAAGCATGTTAAACTGCTTAAAATATTGAATATTGTCATCATATTAAAAGAAAATTATTATAACAGATATAAAGCTTATGACCCAAACTACAGTGATTTATTCATATACATTCACAATGTATAAAAATATTAATTTAAAAATGTATTGTCAGATCGTATAAAGAAATCTATTTTTTTAGACAATAAATTTATTTGTCAGAGAAGAGAGTTTGAATATGGTCTTTATTTTTGAAATTTAGAAATGTCATAATATTATTCAAACCTGTTAGCAGTTTAAATCCTCTATTTAGCAGTCAGTGCTAGAGTCATAGCACAAAATTGGTCCTAACTCAATTGTCCCCAAGGGTGAAGCCACTAAATTGAGGTTTGACAGTATTTGTGCGATCTTTGGTCATTTAGTGAGTAAATGTTATTTGCCAAATCATGGCAAGAGAAAGGTTGCAGCTCACACGCAGAAACTTGGCAAGTGAAAAATACATTGATGAAAGATTTTGATTGACAGGTAAAATGTGACGTTTTCGTAGTTTCCATGGCAACATGAACAATTGAATAAAATTTCACTTTTGCCCAGTTTACATAAAGTTCGCTCATTAGATTTTCCTATAAACTTGCACACAGCTTACTATTATTAATCATGACCATTTGAAACTTATTTGACCAAATCTTAACAGACAAGTTTTTAGATAATCAATAATACAATTGTACTGTAATTATTAAATGTGTCACAAAATTCCTCTGTTCAACTTCCATTTTAAAGTTCTCATTATTTAAAATACGATAAAAGGAAAAATTCTGCCAAATATCACAAAATTCTAATGAGTAGATTTTGAGAAATCGTCTTCTCTGTACCACTGCTTTTTTTCGCCGCGACGTGAGTTACCGCTGACCGCGCGCAAAACTGTGTTCAGCCACCTTAATTAACTGTGGCAGTGTTGCTAACACGTAAGACAGTGTAATCAACCCTTTAATTCCCAAAAGTGATCAAGGTCAGCCTCTCCTTTAGTATTGATACATAATCACGAGAAAAGGTTACAAAACGTCTTGGAATGATCATCAAAAGGGAAAAAAGCTTTTTTGATCTCTTATTAAATTCTCTTATAAAAACTTTAAAAATTCTTTTCAGAAGTGTATGTTGATCAGTCTGAAGAATTTGTATGTTGATATTGAGGATTTGAGGAATGCATCGTAAATAGTGGCTTTTGATCTGATGGCAAATTCTCCCCATGAAGTCACTTGGGTCTTTGTTCCAGGTAGGTTATTATTATTTTTGCTATTATTTTTCAGTCTATTATCATGTAAAAAAATTAATCGGTCTAATTCATGCTATGGCTATTTTCATTATGTTTTGTATAGCCTGTGTAGCTGCAAGGTTTTTGGGGTGATTTTCGTTTTTGGTTAGTATTTACAATCAATGCGGCCTCCTCGGGTTGGAAGGCGAGAGGAAGACCAAAAACTACTTTGAGAAGGACAATCGAGAAGGAGCGAACACAGGAAAAAATAACGGATTCCCATTTTTGGATATTTTTGGGTATTTAAAGAATACCCATAAAAATCCCAAATTTGGCAAAGTGAGACAAGTCCCAACCAGGGAATTCCCAACCAAGTTCCCAGATTGGGACTTGTCTCACTCTTCCAAATTTGGGATTTTTGTGGGTATTCTTTAAAATTAATACCCAAAAATATCCAAAAATGGGAATCCGTTATTTTTTCCTGTGGAAACGAAGCAAGGTGGAAGAGCTGGGGAGTAGCCAAAGCAGTTGCACAAGACAGAATAGAAAGTGTTGGTCAAAAAGCGTGGTGGCCTTATGTACCTACTGGCGTGATAAGACATGATGAGAAAAGAAGGAAGCGGGGCCTGTATTCAACCCATTGATATTTTTGAAACACCCCTTCTAGCCAATCAGGTATGCCTTTTGTTCCGCCTGCTGGCAAATGGAGTTCCAAAAACTCTCATGGGGTTGAATGCAGGTTGTTTTTCCCACTCCTTCCTCCCTCCGCTTGCCCC